TCGCGGTGCGCAGGAAACATGTTTCAGGTCACGGCTGTGACGTCAGAAACATGTTCCAGTTCAAGGGCCGCCAAAATGTGCTCCTGGTGTACGCGCGTCACACACAAGGGACGGTGCGCGTCAACCAGCGAAATGTACCGCCCATGGGACGTCGTTGTTAGGTAAAAGAGCGCCCTTTTTTCGTTAGCGCACGGAGCTCATTATTATTCAGTCGTATTGTTTGCTCACTTCATGTACGAAGGACTGCTAAAGATGTTGAAATTGTGTACATGGACATGTACATGTATACTACATGACTTGTATTTACATGTATAGCAACCTATTTGTACCTGTATTTTACCTCAGGCTCTATTTTCTAAGAATATATTTTTCATTTTTTAAATATTTCTTTCCTATTTTTTGGGGGTGGCTAAATACAACTGAATTTTTTTTAAAATGTATTTTAAATATGAAAGAAATATATTTTTCTCTATTTTATTTGACCTGGGATGCTATGAATGTGCATGCTTGTGCTCAGCCAAATACAGCTTGATTAAGGCACATGAATATTACTCATAATAGTCCTGGAAAATCACAAACCATGTGGTGCACTTGTCACTCCGTTACAGTGATTTTAATGCATTTTAACCCCAGATACTTGCCCCCGTTGCACACATCTTTACTGCACTTCACAAATGGCTTGCAGAATGCAACTAACAAAATTCAAACTTGCCACTCACACAGGATGTTTCTTATCTGGTATGCAAATTAATTGCTTGTCATTCCGATTGTGTTGTACTGAGCACATACTGTCCACAAAATAGGAAATAAATAATCCATTGATTTCAGATATTATTCGAAGTCCCACAAAATAGGAAATAAATAGGCTATGGTTCTCATAACCGTGTCTTAGTGTCCAGAAAATGGCCAAAAAATAGTCCATGGACCCTAATAAAATATCCAGGTCTCCAAAAAATAGTAAAAAAATAGTTTGTATTTAAAAAACAATAGAAATAAAGTAGAGTGGCAACAAAAAACAGGGATAAAATAGTGCATCTGCGTCTACTTATTTTGTCATATTTTCCAGGAGAAAATAGCTTTTAAATGCATTTAAAATAGGAATAACAGGATTTTGCCAGAGATTTTCTATGAGGGATATGTGTGGTTGAATTTGAACCAAACTGTTTTAATAACTCGATGGTATGTACATGTAGATGTTAAATGTTTTGACTCTGTGTTGTCACAGAAGGCTATCCATGGTAAATAGACTTTTACTTTTGTGGGGATCTGCATCTTGTAGCCCATACGTTCAACAGTTCAATTCGCCTTGTAGCATAGCACCGAGCAGTTTGTTTACTGCATACTTCATAGTGTTGCCGCGCCTGAAGGGAAAGTAGTTATTGTACCACTTTTTCCAATAATAATAGGTTACACACATTTGGGTAGGGATAACCATCCAGAATTGTTTTATAAATTAAATTGAATTTTTTTTCCTAATATTGATTCGGTGACTTTAGTTAAGTAATGATTATCGTACATTTTACTGCGCACGGATATATAAACTAGCGTACCGTGTTATTTGGTTCCGCGGGAGCTTGTCATGTCCTCTCTTTCCATGATGGTTGAAGCTGCATGAACAGAGTACTTTTTCTGGCAGCAAACGACACTCAAAACCCAAGCCTGGAGACTCCAGCCTGGTCTTGGTGATCAGGAGGAACTCCTGCCCACCCCTTGGTGTCCGGGTGAGTAGGATTTCAGTGTATTTCATATGTCTTTGCGACAGTATTTTACGGTTTTTGACGCTATTGTGTGTGACTTTTTGACATGCAGTGATTGCACGTAACGTGTTGTGTGCGTACGTGCTGTCTGTAGCCCAGGTTGGACGAAGTCTTCATTGCATTACGACTGACGTCCAGGATGAGAGTTCTCTACGTAATACCACCCAAAATTTTGACCAGATTAAAGATTGGTCATACTTCTCTCTATTGTAAGATACGTACTTACATCGTCGAAACATCACGCAAATCAAATGCACATATGTACGTACACGTACAATGTATAGCGACACCCATCTGTTAGAAGGTCGAAAATCATCCGTCAATTTCGTACGATGTAAAAGTAGTATTAACATCAAAATGTGCAGTGTCCCTTCGCTAATATCTCAGTATAAAAAATATCACCTTTACTCAGCTGGTTATATCATGATGGTCGGCGATGTTGGTCGATGTAGGACAAAAATTTATGGAGAACGCAACGCCATATTGGAGCTCGGACGGAAAAAAAATCTAGTGCGCGCGCGCGGCGCGCTGAACTCACTATCCAATCAAAATGCTCAGTCGCCTAATACATTACTGCGCATGCGTCTATGCAGAAAAGCTCACAACCCTTTTAAAATGTGAAAAGTCACATCTTGAAGTTGGTTAACTTTAGCATTACTAAGAGTTGGAATAACCTTTTGCAACATTTGAAATGTTGTTTTGGTAGTAACACTTCGAAATTGTTAACATCCAACACTTCAGTTTTTAGAGTGTAGGGAGATGGGGGTGGGTCATCAAAATTGATATATTACATCACAAACATCACAGCAGACTGTAGCTTGACTTTCTTTCGAGATTTGCCCTCTTTAGCTTGATCCATGATTTTTTAATCGTCACTAAGAATCAGCTCAATTCGTAACTGAACTGCCCGCGAGCGAGCACGTGCGTGTGTTTTGCACAGCTGTAGTGTCAACCGCCATATGAAGTGACCTCGCGCGGCCGGCATGACAGAATGTACAGTCTTTTACCATGGGTTACAGAACCGGATTTTAGCAGCGCTGTTTTTATTATTTCCATTCTCCATTTTTCCTTGTTCCCCCTTCCTTTCCCCTTCCTTCTCCATTCTTCATTTTCTTTATTGCCGACGGCACCATGATTTTGCCGACAAAACAGACTAATTTGGGTGTGACACCCTCCCCCCCCCCGTAGCGACGTCCGTGAGTAGGTGCTCTCAATAAATTTTAACAATAAAATGCTTACTTCTGTCTCCCAAAACTCGAAAAGGGGTTGGGGTGAGGGAGTCCTCAATGAGGGGGGGGGGGGGGCCTCCCCCATTACGCCACTTTAACCCTAAAGGGGCCGGGGGGGGGGCGGAATCCGCCCCCCCCCTCAACATTTTCCGCGATAGCTTCTAAAAAATTTTTTTTTCGCGACCCGAGCTGTTATGACTTTTTAGCCTCGAGCTTTGCGCATCTTTTGATACCAAAAACATAAAAATCGGACCACGGGTTGGCCCGTAGCGAACAATTTTCTGAATTTTCGCATATACGTCGTGTACACCGAGCAGAATTGCCATTCATACATATGAATAATTAATTAGCCATAATCCCAAAACCCTTTGACCTATAGTCATGAAATTTCTTGGGCATGTTTAGGAAGAGTTGCTCTATGCATGTGCTGAGTTTCAAAATTTTTCGTCACTCGATGGCCGAGATCTTAGGGGGGGGGGGGCGGAATCCGCCCCCCCCCGGCTGAGAGATGGTCAAAATAACCCGGCCCCTTTAGGGTTAAAATGAAATTCGGCAGGGTAAAAATGGAATTGACTTATCGGTATCTATTAGGGCAATCTGTTCTTGAAATTTTCAACAGTTTTGAGGAGAGTAACCACTCGGTATTTTAATGACGAAGATTACAACAGTATCGATGACAACAATGACGCTCTTAAATTTACCATTTTATATTATTTTTAATTGGAAAGAAGCAAGGATCCTTGCTTAGACAAAGAGTAGGATTTCGCTGAGTTATCGGAAATACACGCCTTTCATTATATGTCATCATGCCTTTTGTTTTTAAATTAATTAACACATTTCCCAATAGTTGATTGTGGTTGAATGTTTGCGAGATAGATGGAGTGCCAATTAACACATTGCCAGCAGAATATTGTTAACTAAATGTCAGGGTCCTCGTCAATTCTTACTGGACTATAAAACCGGGCCCACTTGAAACGTATGGCAGTACAGGAACAAAAGTGCAAAAAGAGCAAAATTTATAATCCTTTAAATTTGTGACCGATTCTTTAGATATTGTAGTTTTTTTTATATCTCCAGTAGGTGTCGCCCGACTGGTCCGTCTTTTGTATTTTTACAAGTACAGCATAAGGCAGTGTAGTCAGTGCCTCGTTCAACAATGCAGACCAGGAGGAGATATCATCAAGAATGGCGCATTTTCTTTCTGATCATTCTGGCGAATGGTATATTGTGCGATGGTAAGTTCACGTTGATTTAATTCGTCAACGACGTTTTTCTTCCTTTAGTAGAATATTTACCGAAGACCCACGATCAAGGTTCACCATCACCAACTTTGACCTCATTAATTGCAGCCTCAGGCCACGAAAAATATTGCCGCGCCACTTCTGTCCGCTCCAGCGTCACTGATGCATCGTTTGTAGATAGTCCAACATCTACGATGTTATCTCGGTTGGAGACTACTCGATCACGAATGTCTACAAGCCTCCTTTCTATGTTACCTTACCCAGCCATTTATGTTGGCGACTTCAATAGCCACCACGCCATCTGGTGATACAATAGCAACGACAGGAATGGCAAATGTGTCACGGAATAGTCCAACCACGCAGACACTCACCTACGGTGCTGGACATGAACAACACGGGTCTATCAGATCGGTTCGCTGGGTATACGCAGCACTCTCCAGACCTCTGTTGGGTCTCATCGAAGGACGGATGTCTCCTTCCAGCCAAATGCCCTTCCTGGGTTTCCATGCGTCCAACACAGGCCCATCGTACGTATGCGCAATCGACATCGGTATCTGACTCTGCCCATCATCAAATCCGTCCAGAAACCAAGATGGAACGTCCGAAAAGCCAACTGGACAAGCTTCACCAGTGACCTGGAGTGAAGCATTTTCTGCATCCCCCAGAACATTCCAATCAACAAAGCCTATGACCGCTTCACTCGGGCTATATCAAAAGCTGCGAAACGTCATATTCCCCACGGCTTCAGACCGACCTATACACCTGGCCTCAATATGATGAAGAATGCCGACAACATTCTGACGGAGTACAGTACGTAGATACCGGAAACGCTGAGATCTCCGATAACTCATTCCGGCCCTCAATGATGCCAGACGTAGTCGCTGGGCATGGGAAGAAACAACAAGCAGTGTAGACTTCACACATTATACAGCCGCAAAAGCTGTAAACTCTTATGCTAACTCGGTGTGGGACAACAGCCAATCCCAACCTCCAGTAGACCCAGCGTCCACTCAAGAAAGAAAGAAATCAAGAAACACGTCCATCAAGCATGAAAAACAGCTTAAACTCGTATGACCTAGTCTCCCTCATCCTTCACACCACTCGAAGTCACTAGCGCAGTTAGGAATTTGGAAACAGGTAAGGCGCTGGATACGACCAGATGTATATAGGGCCTACCCATAATTCATCAAGAACTTGGGACACCAAGCCATCAACTTGCTAACCAAATTCCTCAGCCGGGTGATCTATGACAAATAGATTCCCAACACGTGGATAACAGCGAATGTCATTGCCATACCCAAGCCTGGGAAAGACCCGAAGCTAGCAGCCAGTTAATACAGACTGATCTAGCTCCTCTCCATCTGCTACAAGCTCCTTGAAACAGTGATCCTCAACCACATCGCTCCACTAATTCTTGTCGATGTTTTTTTCTCCCCTGACCGAGCAGGATTCAGGAGCGGCCACAGACCCTGCATGTCTACCTTCCATAAGTGGAGCAGCAGTGTGTCCCCTCTTAGTACCGGCAGTACTGTGGAAACGATAGAAAATATCTGCAAAGGTGCCTTTTTCAGCGGTTCCAATGCAGCCTCTCAGCACCTCACCTTGCAGACGACCGGGCGGTGACGTGGCTTTGCGAGGCAGCCATCGGCGAATACTTCGGGGCAACAGAATTCTAGGAGAAAGACCAGTATTTAACTGATTGAGTTTGAAGGTTATAAACACAGAAGTTTGGCTACACAGCACGAAGAAAGTCGGGAAACGTCGAAGCACTGTGCCCAGATGAATCGGATGAATCTAATTGCGGTATAGGCATAATTCGGATCAATGAATCACTTTGCGACTGACTTGTTTACATAAAAAAAAACACTGCGGTGAAATCTCCACCATCATGCAATGTGACCAATGGCCAGTCTTTCGAGCCTCCAGTTATATTCAAACTTATGATGAGCTAGCTACGAACCAGACATCAACTTTTCGCTCAGCAGCGTACAGTACATCACCGCTAGCCGCAGGCCGGATACCGCATCAGAATAACGTTGGATCCATGTTATCCAAAGACAATGTTTAATACTTCAGGCTTGTGCACATTCTGAATCAATTAATTTATTCTTTTTCTGTCCCTAGAGAAAAACAACTTGCAACCTGAAGACGGTCAGAGCATACTGACCGGAACGTCGAGTTTATACCTCTGGTTCTTTTTCAGAACCATTCTCTTAGTTGACAAATTATTCGCACATGGTGTTTCCGCAAACCTTTCATTATTTAGTATCTCCACCATGCAAAGCCTCAAATCTTACTTGCATTCCTGAAATCAAACTTATTGTTTGGTTTTACAAGAAACCTAGTATTTTTTTCTGATTTTTCATTAACTGTTGTATTTTCTTCCACAGTTCAATGTGGAAAAAGCAACGTCACCCTCGGCAACTCAACACAGACTTCAGGAACACTAACTTCGCCTTATTACCCAAACAACTATCCCGACAATGCTCGGTGCATTTGGTTCATCACAGTTGATGAAGGCTCCACGATTGCCTTCCGTTTCTCTGTGTTCAATACGGAGCAAAAATGGGACACGTTGACCATTGGCAACAGCCACGAGTCCTCCGATGGTGACTCTGTTATTGGTCTTTGGAGCGGTGTCCTGACGAATCTATCCGTCGTTTCCAATAACCACTCGGCATGGATGAAGTTTACCAGCGATTTTTCGGTAACCAAGATCGGATTCGAGGTAAAGATCACTCAAGAAAGCTATGAAGGTGAGTAGCAACTTGAAAAGATAATGGAATGTCTCCTGAAGTTGTTGTGCAGCTGATTTTACGGAACAGTGCATACATGTAACTTATGTCGCTCGCCGCAGATTTACACAACTAATTACATTTGCGTAATATATAATTACGAATGATTTCATGAAAATTGGTATGCTGTTCAACGTTTAAAATATTTCAAACACTTTGGACAAGACTGATCGTTGCTTTTAAGACATCGGTTACGAAACAGTTTATACTTCGAGACTTCCCAAAATACTTCGAGATTGTTCTAATTCTGAATAAATTAATTTAGTTATTTTTCTGTCCCTATAGAGCAAAACCACTGGCATTCCCGAAATTAAAGTTATGGCTTGGTTTTACAAGAAACCTTAGTCGATTTTTTTGATTTTTCATTCACATTCTTATTTATCTTCTACAGGTTTTTGCGGGAAAAGAAACATCATCCTCAACAACTTAACCCAGACTTCAGAAACACTGACTTCGCCTTATTACCCAAACAACTATCCCACCAATGCCCGGTGCATTTGGTTCATCACAGTTGATGAAGGCTCCACGATAGCCTTCCGTTTCTCCGTGTTCAATACGAAGCGAACACACGATACGTTGATCATTGGCAACGGCCACGAGTCCTCCGATGGTGACTCTGTTATTGGACTTTTTAGCAGTTCCCTGATGAGTCTAGCCGTCATTTCCAATAACCACACGGCATGGATGAAGTTTACCAGCGATTCTTCGGTAACCGAGATCGGATTCGAGGTAAAGATCACTCAAGAAAGCTATGAAGGTAAGTAGCAACTTGAAAAGATAATGGAATGTCTCCTGCAGTTGTTGTGCAGCTGATTTTACGGGAGAGTGCATACATGTAACTTATGTCGCTCACCGCAGATTTACACAACTAATTACATTTGCGTAATAATAATATGTAATTACGAATGATTTCATGAAAATTGGTATGCTGTTTAACGTTTTAAATATTATTTTCAAACAACTTGGACAAGGATGATCGTTGCTTTTAAGACATCGGTCATAAAGCAGTTGATGAATCAGCTATGCTTGCCATTTTGAAAAAAAAATTGTGGCTTCTTCAGAAGCAGGTGGCCACACTCAAATTTCTGTCAATGATAAAATAATACTTACTCATGTACATTTAAGCCGTTAATTTTCTTACGTCACATTAACAAGTTGGCAGTGACCAATGAATTTAGACTCTATACAGACTAATAGGCCTAAATAGATTTTTTTTTAATTGTCCATATTCCAAAGTCATAATTTGTTGCGCAAATTGCAAACTTATGCAACGCACACGAGTTTGCCAAATGTGACATAAATGAAATGCACAATATTTTGCTTGATAAGTTACTGTTCACTGTGCCAAGTTTGGAGAATCGATTGCTGAACGTTACCTGTTATTTATTCTGCTCTTTGCTGCATGCAGGTTCTTGTGGACAGGATGAATTTGCATGCCAGGATGTATCCTCTGGCTTGATTTGTTTGGCACGTGACGACACCTGTGATCGTGATAACTTTGCACATTGTCCAGATGGATCAGATGAATCTAAATGCCGTTAGTATATTTCAGATTCATGAGGCATCATTGCAACTGACTTAAACTCTGTTAAACTTAAAGGCATGCGTGATCTTTTCAATTTATCTCAAAAGTATCCTGCCAAACTATTATCAAGAAGCTAACACTTGCTGAAAATAGCCTATGTAATTCTTTTTCATTCCCCTGCCATCTTTGAAACAGATGACATTAAGCGTTATTCAAGCATCACATTATTGTTATCATCACTTTAGTTTTAAAATAGCACATGTAAAACATGTTACCCTAGCTAAATCTAAGTTACCCTCTCTTTCGAAAATTAACACATTTTCTATTTCAAAAATCATTCTTTTTGTGAAATTGTGTTTTAATAAAAACACTACGGTGAATTCTCCATTTTCATGCTATGTGACCAATGGCCAATGTTTCATTCTTCAAATCATTTTCAAACTTACGAGGTAGCTACGAACCAGACATCAACTTTCCGTTCAGCAGCGTACAATACATCACCGCCTAGCCGCAGGCCGGATACCGCATCAGAATCACCTCGGATCCATGTTATCCAAAGCCAATGTTGTATACTTCGGGCTTGTGCACATTCTGATTAAATTTAGTCTTTTTCTGTCCCTTGAGCAAAACCACTGGCATTCCTGAAATCAAACTTATTGTTTGGTTTGACAAGAAACCTTGGATTTTTCTGATTTTTCATTAACTGTTTTATATTCTTCCGCAGTTCCATGTGGAAAAAGTAACATCACCCTCAACAACTCAACGCAGACTTCAGAAACACTGACTTCGCCTTATTACCCAAACAACTATCCCGACAATGACCGGTGCATTTGGTTCATCACAGTTGATGAAGGCTCCACGATAGCCTTCCGTTTCTCCGTGTTCAATACGGAGCGAAAATGGGACACGTTGACCATTGGCAACGGCCACGAGTCCTTCGATGGTGACTCTGTTATTGGTCGTTTTAGCAGTTCCCTTACGAGTCTAGCCGTCTTTTCCAATAACCACACGGCATGGATGGAGTTTACCAGCGATTCTTCGGTAACCGAGATCGGATTCGAGGTAAACATCACTCAAGAAAGATCTGAAGGTAAGTAGCAACTTGAAAAGATAATGTGATGTCTACTTAAGTTGTTGTGCAGCTGATTTTACGGAAGAGTGCATACATGCAACTTATGTCGCTCGCCGCAGATTTAAACAACTACATGTAATCACATTTGCGTAATATATAATTACAAATGATTTCATGAAAATTGATAGGCTGTTCAACGTTTTAAATATTATTTCAAACATCTTGGACAAGGATGATCGCTGCTTTTATGACATCGTCACGAAGCATTTGTTAAATCAGCTATGCTTGCAATTTTGAAAAAAAGTGGCTTCTTCAGAAGCAGGCGGCCACACTCAAATTTGTGTCAAGGATAAAATAAGAAATCAAATTAAGTTCTGCCTTAAACGACGTTTGAACACTGTATACTCTGTGTGTTACCTCCCGATTGAAAGTTGGAAACATTATTCGGGTGGGACTCAAGCCCGAGACCTCCTGCTTTCTAGTGCAGACGTCTTACCACTCGACCACCGAGATGATCGGTTGGCTGGTTCGAATCTGATGTACATAGCAGCGGGTACCGCATGAACTGTCATCGAATTTTGCGTCGAGGTGATACAAATCAAATCAGGTTTTGCCCTTCAACGACGTTTGGTTCGAGTTCCACCCGAGTAATTTTTCCAACTTTCACTCGGGAGGTAACACACTGAGTATACAGTGTTCAAACGTCGTTGAAGGGCAAAACCTAATTTGATTTATATCACCCCGACGCAAAATTCCATCTTATGATAAAATAATATATATATACTTACTCGTGTACGTTTAAGCCGTTAATTTTCTCACGTCACATAAACAAGTTGGCAGAGACCAAAGAATTATACTCTATACAGACTAATAGGCCTAATTAGATTGTTTTTTTTTTTAATTGTACATATTCCAAAGTCATGATTTGTTGCGCAAATTGCAAACTTATGCAACGCACACGAGTTTGCCAAATGTGACATAAAGGAAATGCACAATATTTTGCTTGATAAGTTACTGTTCACTGTGCCAAGTTTGGAGAATCGATTGCTGAACGTTACCTTTTATTTATTCTGCTCTTTACTGCATGCAGGTTCTTGTGGACAGGATGAATTTGCATGCCAGGATGTATCCTCTGGCCTGATATGTTTGGCACGTGACGACACCTGTGATGGTGACAACTTTGCACATTGTCCAGATGGATCAGATGAATCTAACTGCCGTAAGTATATTTTGGATTCATGAGGCATCATTGCAACTGACTTAAACTCTGATAAACTTAAAAGCATGCGTGATTTTTTTCAATTTATCCCAAAAGTATCCTGCCGAGCTGTCTTCAAGAAGCTGACACTTGCTCCACATATGTAATTTTTTTCTCTCCCTCATCTTTGAAACAGATGACATTAAGCTTTATTCAAGCATCACATTATTGTTATCACCACTTTAATTTTAGAATAGCACATGAAAAATATGTTACCCTAGCTAAATCTAAGTTACCCTCTCTTTCAAAATTTAACACATTTTCTGTTTCAAGAATCATTCTTTTTGTGAAATCTCGTTTTAATAAAAACACTACGGTGAATTCTCCACTTTCATGCAATGTGACCAATAGCCATTTTTTCATTCTTCAAATTCCGTTCAAACTTACGAGGTAGCTACGAACCAGACATCAACTTTCCGTTCAGCAGCGTACAGTACATCACCACCTAGCCTCAGGCCGGATACCGTATCAGAATAACGTTGGATCCATGTTATCCAAAGACAGTGTTTTATAATTCAGGCTTGTGTACATTCTGATTAAATATAGTTTTTTTTCTGTCCCTTGAGCAAAACCACTGGCATTTCTGAAATTAAACTTATTGTTTGATTTGACAAGAAACCTATATTTTTCTGATTTTCATTTACTGTTTTATTTTCTTCTGCAGTTCCATGTGGAAAAAGTAACATCACTCTCAGCAACTCAACACAGACTTCAGAAACACTGACTTCGCCTTATTACCCAAACAACTATCGCTACAAAGCTCGGTGCATTTGGTTCATCACAGTTGATGAAGGCTCCACGATTGCCTTCCGTTTCTCCGTGTTCAATACGGAGCGAACACACGACACGTTGACCATTGGCAACGGCCACGAGTCCTCCGATGGTGACTCTGTTATTGGACTTTTTAGCAGTTCCCTTACGAGTCTAGCCGTCTTTTCCAATATCCACACGGCATGGATGGAGTTTACCAGCGATTCTTCGGTAACCAAGATCGGATTCGAGGTAAAGATCACTCAAGAAAGACCTGAAGGTAAGCAGCAATTTGAAAAAATAATGTGATGTCTCCTGAAGTTGTTATCCAGCTGATTTTTTTACGGAAGAGTGCATACATGTAACTTATGTCGCTCACCGCAGATCTACACAACTATAATTACATTTGCGTTATATATAATTACGAATGATTTCATGAAAATTGGTATGCTGTTTAACGTTTTAAATATTATTTTCAAACAACTTGGACAAGGATGATCGTTGCTTTTAAGACATTGGTCATAAAGCAGTTGTTGAATCAGCTATGCTAGCCATTTTGAAAAAAAAAATTGTGGCTTCTTCAGAAGCAGGTGGCCACACTCAAATTTCTGCCAATGATAAAATAATACTTACTCATGTACGTTTAAGCCGTAAATTTTCTTACGTCACATTAACAAGTTGGCAGTGACCAATGAATTGAGACTACAGACTAATATGCCTAGAGAGGTTTTTTTTAATTGTCCATATTTCAAAGTCATAATTTGTTGCGCAAATTGCAAACTTATGCAACGCACACGAGTTTGCCAAATGTGACGTTAATGAAATGCACAATATTTTGCTTGATAAGTTGCTGTTCACTGTGCCAAGTTTGGAGAATCGATTGCAAACGTTACCTGTCATTTATTCTGCTCTTTGCTGCATGCAGGTTCTTGTGGACAGGATGAATTTGCATGCCAGGATGAATCCTCTGGCTTGATTTGTTTGGCACCTGACGACACCTGTGATGGTGATGGCTTTACACTGTGCCCAGATGGATCAGATGAATCTAACTGCCGTAAGTATATTTCGGATTCATGAGGCATCATTGCAACTGACTTAAACTCTGTTAAATTTAAAGGCATGCGTGATTTTTTTCAATTTATCCCAAAAGTATCCTGCCGAGCTGTCTTCAAGAAGCTGACACTTGCTCCACATATGTAATTTTTTTCTCTCCCACATCTTTGAAACAGATGACATTAAGCTTTATTCAAGCATCACATTATTGTTATCACCACTTTAATTTTAGAATAGCACATGAAAAATATGTTACCCTAGCTAAATCTAAGTTACCCTCTCTTTCAAAATTTAACACATTTTCTGTTTCAAGAATCATTCTTTTTGTGAAATCTCGTTTTAATAAAAACACTACGGTGAATTCTCCACTTTCATGCAATGTGACCAATAGCCATTTTTTCATTCTTCAAATCACGTTCAAACTTACAAGGTATACGAACCAGATATCAACTTTCCGTTCAGCAGCGTGCAGTACATCACCGCCTCGCCGCAGGCCGGATACCGCATCAGAATAAAGTGGGCATCCATGTTATCCAAAGACAATGGTTTATAATTCAGGCCTGTGCACATTCTGATTAAATTGAGTTTTTTTTCTGTCCCTTGAGCAAAACCACTGGCATTCCTGAAATTAAACTTATTGTTTGGTTTAACAATAACCTAGTATTTTTCTGATTTTTCATTAACTGTTTTTTATTTTCTTCCGCAGTTCCATGTGGAAAAAGTAACATCACTCTCAGCAACTCAACACACACTTCAGAAACACTGACTTCGCCTTATTACCCAAACAACTATCGCGACAAAGCTCGGTGCATTTGGTTCATCACAGTTGATGAAGGCTCCACGATTGCTTTCCATTTCTCCGTATTCAATACGGAGCGAACACACGACACGTTGACCATTGGCAACGGCCACGAGTCCTCCGATGGTGACTCTGTTATTGGTCGTTTTAGCAGTTTCCTGACGAGTCTAGCCGTCTTTTCCAATAACCACACAGCATGGATGAAGTTTACCAGCGATTTTTCGGTAACCGAGATCGGATTCGAGGTAAAGATCACACAAGAAAGTTCTGAAGGTGAGTAGAAACTTAGATAATGGAATGTCTCCAGAAGTTGTTGTGCAGCTGATTTTACGGAAGAGTGCATACATGTAACTTATGTCGCTCACCGCAGACTTACACAACTAATTAGATTTGCGTAATACATAATTACGAATGATTTCATGAAAATTGGTTTGCTGTTCAACGTATTCAGTATTTCAAACATCTTGGACAGGGATGAACACTGCTTTTAAGACATCAATCGCGAACAGTTTTTGGATCAGCTATGCTTGCCTTTTTGGAAAAAAAAAATTGTGTGCTTCTTCAGAAGCAGGCGGTCACACTCAAATTTCTGTCAAGGACAAAATAATACTTACTCATGTACATTCAAGACGTTACTTTTCTTATACGTAAACATTAATAAGTTGGGAAGTGACCAATGAATTTAGACTATACAGACTAATAGGCCTAAATAGGGGGTGTGTTTTTAATTGTTTCATTCCAAAGTCATAATTTGCTGCGTAAATTGCAAACTTATGCAACGCACACGTTATTATTATTATTGTCATTATTATTATTGTAGCAGTACGCCAGTAAGGAGGTCCGCTCAAATGATTAGATTTAAGGACGCCAAGGACAAATCAAGACAAAAAGAAACAAATCAAAGCTGGAGTCAAATTATGCTTGGTCTCGTGAACTTGTTCACAAAAATCGATTACAATAGTTTAAATTAACACCTGATCTCAATTTGAACTCACAAAAACAACTGTTACAAACAGTACGTCCACAATACCATCAACGGGTTTTATCAAAATCTGTTCTGACACCTCTACCTCTAGAACATCTGCTACATCAGTACATGCAGGGACAATAACTACTGGCTCAGAATCAACATTTGTCACACTAATTTCACTGGGAATATCACCAAATGGGACACCATTATCAGAAGACAAACTTTCCAGGTTTTTGACCTGTTGGTCTTCAACAAACTTGAGTAAAATAGCAGCATGCTCATTGAGTGCTGTCTGTATTGACTTAGCTACACTTAGCTTAAATATGGAATCAACAGATTCAAAAGGCTGTTCATTAAGTGAGTGGACCTCATCATGACCATCCTCCAATAAATTTGAAAACACATTGACAATAGTTTGTGCTAAAAACTGATGTGACTTAGCAATACTGTCTGGCAAAACCATGGTTGTGATATAAATGACCACCTACGGCCTACAGTGTACATGCCAATACAAGGCTTCACAAATTTGACCAAACATCTGTTCCTACACAGATATAACAGGGTCACAATACAGCCTATTGTCACTCCTACAAGGGATACAATGACCTAACTTGTACACACAAAATCCAACCAAAAATTACAGCCTAAATACAGACTGAATCATGTCAAAAATAGACAAAAATGCACAGACACAATATTAAATGCACATCATCAAATGCACGTCAAACTTCAAATCATCATCAAATGCACGTCAATATGTCAAAATATACTAGGGTCTGCAAATTAAGTCAGCAAAAAAACCAATCAGGCCATATTCAACATACAAACCAACTGTGCACACAAATTTGACTTCAATAAAATGTATCCCAGCTACACGTAGGCCAAATGGCTTTATCTGTACAAATGCAGATCTACAAAATAATGAATACCAAAGTCAAAATAAACTTCACATGGAAGATAAAATTGCACAAAAGTATGAAGGTTAAAACTACAAGTGTCCAATACTGAACCTGCTGACAACAATACAAAAAAATGCAGCCCAGTCAATAATACAAAATGGAAGAGATGATCATGTCCCTCAACAAGTGAAACGGCGCATCACAGCCTGGTGAATGTGGAGAAACATGTTGCATGGGAACAGCAAGAGTAAATCCCATCTTGTACCACGCTCCTTGATAAATAGTCGGCCACAGCGAGGAACAGGCGGTCGGAGCGAGGAACAGGCGTTCGGGGAAACTTAATAATTTACAATCAAGGAAAATGTTTATCCTACATTGTCCAAGGCATCCTGTCTACGATGCCACTTTTGTAGCGGTACGCCAGTAAGGAGGTCCGCTCAAATGATTAGATTTAAGGACGCCAAGGACAGAACAAGACAAAAAGACAAAATCAAAACAGGAGTCAAATTATGCTTGGTCTCATGAACTTGTTCACAAAAATCGATTACAATAGTTTAAATTAACACCTGATCTCAATTTGAACTCACAAAAACAACTGTTACAAAAAGTATTGATAAGATAATAGATTCAGTTTCTAGCTCTATAAATTGTGACACAGTTGCCACTGATAAAATATATTAAATTACTAAGGTTGTATTTCTAAAGTTCCCAGATTCAAAGTGAGGTTCCCAAGGTTCACCGGTTCTAATATTTTAATTAGGTTCCCCGAAGTTCCCCGAACGCCTGGCAAGTGTACGGCTGTGTTGTGAACTAGGCCTTTATATTGCACCTGACATGAAACAGTCGTATTGCAATAAATCAACATGTGACACACGGTGATTAAAACTTTGAGATTGTGAAGACTAATTCACCTCCAAATCACTCCTTTTGTCAACATGAAATAAACTAAAACCTAGCCCAGCGGTAGCAGAGAACTTGCATTATGACATTAGAATGTAAAGATAAAACAAATTTTGCTCATTTGAAACTAAAACGTTGGTTTTCAAGCACAAGTTTTGTACACGATACTCACACTTTGGTGTGCAGGCAGAAAAGGGCTGATATTCGCGCGTTCACGGCATGCACTGAGTGCGCGTTTGTATACATTTTTCTGGGCTGTGTGCCAATTGTACGGTGCCTCGTAAAAGACGTCTCACTACATTATTATTATTTATTCGGCCAACAAATGAACACATTTACAATGACAAAGCAAACATTTATAATAAAGTAAACAAAAATTGGAAATTGAAAAAGTATGACCAGACGACTGACTGAAGGGTGCGAGAAGGAATGGGTCGGGTTGGGGGGGGGGGGGAGGGAGGGTGGACAGTTTGACAGGGAAGAGGAGATAGCAAGGACATTAAAACATTCCAAACCGGCCAGGGTAAACAAAAGTGTACTTAAACACTGTAGTCTAAGGCCTGCCTACCCATGCTCGAAATGTCTACACAAAACTAAATAAAATCTATACAATATCAATATAAATATGTAAATGAAAAGTAAATGAACCAAAATAAAAACAGAGCAAAAATTTAGTTGGAAACAAAATGGCAAGCAAATGTAATATAATCCTATATATCAACAACACAGACCAAACATCAAGGTGCAACGAAATTCAAATACATAGACTCAATGAAAGAGAGACATCACACGAGTAACTGAACATGTCAAAGAAGCAAAAAGCAACAAAGACAACAATACAAACTAAAAACACACACACACACACACCCACCCACAACCCAACAAACAAACGAACACCCAAACTACCCAACAAACAAACCCAAACAAAACATTAAAAAACAACAACAACAACAAACAAACAATCACCCCAATACCCCAACAAACAATAAAAAACAAACAAACAAACAGCCCAATAACCAGCCAAACAACCCCGACAACCCAACAAAATATAACAAACAAACAAACTATAATTACAAAAAAAGACCCAACAAACAAACGTGTTTGTCAAATGTGACGTAATGGCAATGCACATTATTTTGCTTGATAAGTTGCTGTCATTGTGCAAAGTTTGGAGAATCGATTGCAAACGTTACATGTTATTTATTCTGCTCTTTGCTGAATGCAGGTTCTTGTGGACAGGATGAATTTGCATGCCAGGATGTATCCTCTGGCTTGATTTGTTTGGCACCAAACGACACCTGTGACGGTGATAACTTTGCACTGTGCCCAGATGGATCAGATGAATCTAACTGCCGTAAGTATATTTCGGATTCATGAAGCATCATTGCAACTGACTTAAACTCTGTTAAACTTAACGGCATGAGTGATCTTTTCAATTTATCCCAAAATAAGCATGCCAAACTATTATCAAGAAGCTAACACTTGCTCAATATAGCCTATGTAATTCTTTTTTATTTCCCTGCCATCTTTGAAACAGATGACATTAAGCGTTTTTCAAGCAACTTTCCGTGCAGCAGCGTACAATACCCACCTAGCCGCAGGCCGGATACCGCATTAGAATCACCTCGGATCCATGTTATCCAAAGACAATGTTTTGTTCTTGGGGCTTGTGTACATTCTGATCAAATTTAGATTTTTCTGTCCCTTTAGCAAAACCACTGGCATTCCTCAAATTAAACCTATAATTTGGTTTTACAAGAAACCTAGTATTTTTTTCTGATTTTTCATTAACTGTTCTATTTTCTTCCGCAGTTCCATGCGGAAAAAGCAACATCGCCCTCAGCAACTCAACGCAGACTTCAGAAACACTGACTTCGCCTTATTACCCAAACAACTATCCCGACAATGACCGGTGCATTTGGTTCTTCACAGTTGATGAAGGCTCCACGATTGCCTTCCGTTTTTCCGTATTCAATACGGAGCAAATATACGACACGTTGACTATTGGCAACGGCCACGAGTCCTCCGATGGTGACTCTGTTATTGGTCTTTTTAGCAGTTCCCTGACGAGTCTAGCCGTCTTTTCCAATAACCACACGGCATGGATGAAGTTTACCAGCGATTCTTCGGTAACCGAGATCGGATTCGAGGTAAAGATCACACAAGAAACATCTGAAGGTAAGTAGCAACTTGAAAAGATAATGGAATGTCTCCTGAAGTTGTTGTGCAGCTGATTTTACGGAAGAGTGCATACATGTAACTTATGTCGCTCAGCGCAGATTTACACAACTAATTACATTTGCGTAATATATAATTACGAATGATTTCATGAAAATTGGTATAAATATGCTATTCAACGTTTCAAGAATAATTTCAAACATCTTGGACAAGGATGATCGTTGCTTTTAAGATATCGGCCACGAAACAGTTTATACTTCGAGACTTCACAAAATACACAAAATACTTCGAGATTGTGCTAATTCTGAATAAATTAATTTACTCTTTTTTTCTG